ACATGCAACTAAATTAAGCATGTGTCTATACTTCTTGATGAAAGGCTGGATTGCAGTGTGGGGGCAATGCTGTGAATGCCAACGTCGATTTCATAACTGCCAGTTATTGATCCAACTGACGCGCCAACTGGGGACAACGTTTGTTTGCTAGATTCTGGACACCAAGCTGAGATTTTGTAGTTGCGATATTTCAGCATTTACGTCAATACAGGATTATCTACCCGTAGTATGTAATAAGTTAGCAAGTTTTCTAAATTTCTTTTAATCTGCGGTGGCTGTCAGTCATTGTTTCAAATATTATGTGATTTCCGCTCTTGTATACGTTACTGAAATCAAAGGTGACGTAATAGTTTGCATCTTTATCGGAAATTTGACCTGTTTCTTTTTTCAGCTTTCCAGCCCACCAGCCATTCCATAGTTGTCTGTCTCTCTGCTTATTAGTCTGCCTTACCACCTGTCTATGTATCTTGGCTATTCCTCTGCATTAAGCCACTGTCTCTCCCCATCTGTCTTTCTTTTTATTCTATTCAAGCTTTAATTTTCAGCTGTGATATTACCCTCATATGTTCCCGCCTGCCTTTTTTTCATTCAACCATTGGGCTTAAGATGTGGTTATAAGATTTCGACAACGTTCATTTAACAGACACGTTTCGAAACAAGTGAGTGGGCGGGGACCAGTTTATTTAATATACTGACTGCAAATATCACTTGTCATATATTATAGCGCTTAGAAAAAAGCTTTTGTGGTAGGGAACGAAACGCAAATATTTCTGTTTGGAAAGAGCCCGTATAGATTTACATCCACATTCAATGGGCTTGTGCCCATTATCGCCTCAGAGATCGATAAACTCTCCTTCTCACACACTGATCTGATTCTGATTTTCAATTGATGTAGTGCGGACTGTTTCACAGCTCAGGTATCTGCTTCATGTTTCGACGTTGGGTTGTGCGTTTAATGTTACGGGAGTCGAGGTTATTTGGTTTCTCTGAATAAGTGTTTTTGTCAACCTGTCAGCGTTTGCTTAACTGTAATGTGTTTTTGAATTTGAACAAGTGAAAGTGCAGAAGTTGCAAAGAATAGGATGAGGACTGTTAATGTAAGTATATAATATAGGTCTGTGGCATAGCCGTCAGATGCTTCGCTGCCGCTGGCAAGAGACCCGAA